GTCGGACAGTTCGTTTACGGCAGCTGTTGAAACCAGTTCACCTCAGTAGTGCGTTGCGAAAAAAACAATGGAAAAAAATATTGAACAAAGAGTTTGCATCAAATTTTGTTTTTCGAACGAAATTTCGTGTGCAGAATCGTTGCGAATGCTACAAAAGGCTTATGGGGAATCAGTTTTATCGAAAACTCAAGTTTATGAGTGGTACAAAGCCTTTCAGGACTGTCGTACGACCGTCGAAGACATGCCGCGTTCTGGACGACCTTCGACCTCTACCACCGACGAAAACATTGAAAAGGCAAAGGAAATCGTGTTCAAAAATCCTCATGTGAGTGTTAGAGAGATAGCACGAGAGCTAGGCATCGGTCGTGAGATGGCTCGTTTGATTTTGGTGGACAATTTGTGTATGCGACGTGTCAACGCCCGGCTTGTTCCGATTCACCTCAATTTGTTCAACATTATCAACGATTTTAAGGCCAAACATTCAATAAATACCATCGAACAGCCACCGTATTCACCTGATCTTGCACCGTGTGACTTTTTCCTGTTTCCCAACCTCAAATTACCACTCAGAGGAACGCGTTTTGAATCCATAGAAGACGTAAAACAGAATTCGCAGAGGGAACTCAAAGCCATACCGGAAAGCGCCTATAAAAATGTTTTGATGATTGGAAGAAACGTTGGATTGTGTATCGGTTCTAATGGAGCATATTTTGAAGGAGATAATAAATATTGATGAAGATTAAGAATTTTGCGTTTTATTTAAAATTTCCGGAAACTTTTCGGTCACAGTGTATATTAAAGTAAATATATTTATGACTACTTTAGAGTAAAAAATAGCACATACGCGGAGTAATTGTTAAACTGAGAGGTCAACTGGAAACGGAGAGTAAAAAAAAGATGCCTAACCACTACAATATTGCCAACGAAGTACACAAAAATAGCACTTTATTTTTTAATAAACTCCTAAAACAAGGAGGGAAATAAAATCCATTCGTGGAACAGCTAAAATCAAACTAATAGTAGAAGTAAAAAAGATTGCAGAACGCTTACTTATCTATTTTTATTTGCATGCAGAATTTGTATTAACATTTTGGGAACAAGACGTTTGTTTTTCTTCACTATATGAAGAATATGGGTTTTAGGAAATGCAATACAAAAATGACGAGATTAAAGAACCTGGGAAAAAGTAAAAGACATCTACTTTTTTATTTATTATATTATGTCAAACAAATTAGTAAAAGAATTTTTATCCAAGGCAAAATCTTGGATACTAAAGGCATTATTTGCATTTTAGTCATCGTACTAGTCCAATAAATTGTAATCACTGAAAAGAGTAAAGTAGCGGAGAGTTTACACGAAATAGCGCATAATTACTTTTATTATAGAATACTGCACTCTGTTACTGATAAGAAAGTAAAACATTACAAAGTAACAAGAGAGGTTTCCAAGGATTAGTTTTGGGATCTACACAGTAGATACAAAGTATGACGGAATAATCAACATTTGTCTTCCTGATGACATAACAATTCCTTTCTGTAGATGATATTGCAATAGTAGCTAGATAATTCTATAAACCCAGGTTTACTCAAAGCTATGTAAAAGATGAAATTTTAAGAGCTAAATATTAATTACAATCTACTAGGCACTTTATTCTTTATATTCCATAACTTTTCAAATTTCCTTAATATTAATCCAATCCAATCTATTTTTCTTGACATTCTCAGATTATTCTGATATTTGAAGCCTGTAATATCAAATCTTATTGATAATGAAGATTCATTGGATACTTTATATCGCTAGCTGGCTCGCAGCCTAGAGTATTAAATATAAAGATCCAAACACAAATGTTGGTTTATTATTCCAATCAAAATTTACTAATTTATTTGTAATACTAAATACAAGGAGCTACTCACCTGCTTGTCTATGGTCTCCATACCTTGCTAGACGTATTGATATTCTGAAAAGGTATAGAGGCAGATTTCTTCTTTTACAATATTAAACCATTTTTCGATTTACTCGGGTGTTATCATCTGTTAAATTTGCTGTTATTACGATCATGTGTCATGGGTTCTCATTCATATTGATCGAGATTCAAGTTACTGACTCTTAAATAGCAGCTCTGAAAAACAAAAATAATTCATATTAACATATTACGCTTTTAGTTTACCACACCAATTACCTGCATATTTGTTGCAGCAACAGTTCGGACTTAATCTATGAAAATCCAGGGGTTTTAGACTAGCGCTATATCCCACTTAGACCCGACTATTGTTGTGACGACGACCACCGAGTAACCGCGAAACTGGTTAACCTCCTACTTATTTTTTTTCATTCACAGCCAAAACATCATCGATGTCTGACAGTGAGACTCTATTGGAGGCATCTGAATCGGCCAAGTTTTCTATCATCGTATCCTCGTCATCATTTTCTTCACTTTTGTGAGATGATATATTGACTTGTTCTCGCGCATCGCTACCGACTGCTTCGTTATCTACTTTTTCAGCTACATTTGCTGGTATTTCGGCCACGTCTATTCGCGTTTCGGCCCCATGCATATTATCAATGTCAGCTTTTGAATTTTCATCTCCTTTATTTAAATGAACAGGAACTGAACCGAACCTGTAGGACATCCTACAGTTGTTAGCTTTAATTGCCTCCAGAGACCGTCTATCAATGCGAATTGTGAGAACTTTGCCATTCTTTATCTCCTTACTGTTGAAAACTTTCCACAGGTGAGTATGGAGACCGTCATTCTGAGTAATTAATAGATCGAGAAGATCCTTTGTTTCGATACCCGTTGCCCTTGGTAAGCATACGGTTATCATGTGCAGACCAAATATTTTGTCTTCAGTATATGTAGTCAATTCCGTACCTTCCCAGCCGGTTAACTTTGGTATCGTTAATTCCAGCCATTCAGCGGCTTCTTCAGTTACACAATCGATTAGTATGAGGCCTGGCCGAAAGTGTATGCCATCGAATTTTAATTTGGATTTCCATCCTTTACACATTTCACTTACCAGAAGTTGTTCAATCTTCCCCTGGTCCTCACGTGATAGTGTATGTGCTGGGTAAGCTTTTGGTGCAACAGCCAGTCTTAAACCATTGGCGACGCCAGGTGTTTTGACACCTGGTGTAGGTTTTAACGCATCTTTAAATGCAGTTTTTAATGCTTCTAATTTTGGATCAGTTTTTACGGCATCCGAGTTTAGAGAAACTTTTAATGCAACTGACTTTAAAGCAGGTTTCAGTACATCATGCATTGGTGAAGGTTGCGTCTTCGCATCTTCCCTGCTTTTCTTGGCAGGGTTTCCATAAGTCGAATAATTTACATGTGCACCGCGTTTTATCGTATTTGAAGTACGTTCGAGAACCTTCTGTTTAGCTTCTTCTGGCGAAAAGCCTTCTTGAACATAACGTAAATACCATTTCGCACCTGCACCACTTAGACCAAATGCTCTTCTAACCCCTCTATATGAGATAGTACGTTCAGGCACCACTGAAGTATTTGTGAAGGACTGTGGATATATCCCTTTCGGTGTAGAGAATTCCCCAGAGCCCATAAATGTTCTACTTTCATTTGGTTTAGTTATAAATCTTGTAATTGCAGATGTTGTCTGCGGCATCGAACTAAATTTATTGAATTTGGCGTCTTTGCCTTCTGTTCTCCATTTAGGAGACGGAACCTGGTGGTTAGTATTTTGGATATTATAATTCACCTGGTTAGTTAGTTGAAATGCGGTATTTAAGGCCGCTAGTTTATTGATTTTATTAAAATTGTTTTTTTCCATAATTAAATCCCACGAGTGTGGGGGATTTGAGGTCCGCCGTGTCATAGCCCCCGATAACACGGTAAGCCCACAGTTACTCACTGAGGCGGGCAGGTATCAGTGAGGTGCGACGCTAGAATACAGTCTGTTACCCCCGACTGCAAACAAATCCGATAAACACGCGCAATTCCGGATTGGGGGAAAATTGAGAAGGATTAAGAGAGGAATTTGGAGTAAATGCAGTTAGGAGTGTTAGGGATAAGAAGAAAGCGGGTATGTCTCGCATTAGCCGCTATAAAGCGTTACCAGGGACCACCACGTGGAGGCCCTCCTTACGGAGGGGGTGAGTACTTGGGATTAGTCTCACCTGCGAGTCCGTCTAGTAAAATACTAGGGTCCCCTAAGACCTATAATTTTATATAAAACCAAAAGATGAATGACTTTAACGAAGAATTTTACTGAAATAAAAACAACTTTTATGTTTGACTAAAGCATTCCTTTGATAATTGATACTAAGATACAACTAAATTTTAAAAAACTGTTACATTCACTACATTATTGATGGAGTATATAACTGTACTTAATCTATGATGGAGATAATTTTTGTTACGTTAAAATTTAAGACATCTGAAAAAACCCATTTCAACTGTTATCACTCTCTAAGTTAAGAACAATTCTGAATGACTATGTCAAAAAATAATTATTTAACAATTCATTTAGCAAAATTTTAGGGAATATTATTATTAGAGTTCTCATAAAAAAAATTTATCTAAATTTGCGCCACTTTCCTATTCCTATTTCCTATAGTTATATAACTTAAAACGTATAATCAGTCTAAATTTACGGTTAATATAATTACATCGCACTTATTTATGTTCTGCAATTTTATTTTTTATTATTTTAGAGTGAAAATGCTATTGGAGCTCATCATCCATTTGAGAAAACCTCGTTTTCATGTTCCGGACGTCCCGCTGGTTATTATGCAGATGTAGAAACTGGATGCCAGGTAAAATATATGCTTTCTATATGTTTATTATTACTTTTTTTTTGTTTGCTATCACCCAGACAACTAGTTAACTTTAATCATATTTTTTTATTTTACACATCTGTTCTTATCTTTACATATATATATTTTCTTCCTAATAGCCATCTTTTTAATATTTTGTATCTTTTTCTCTTCATCTAATTTCTGTGTATCTTTTTTGTATCCTTTTTTGTTTTCCTTTTTCATATGATTTATCATTCTATTTCTACTTGCGATTAATATATTTTATATAAAATACAGGTATATCACATGTGTGACGGCTTGGGGCGACAGTTTAGTTATTCCTGTCCGAATACAACTTTGTTTCAACAACGTATGTTAATCTGTGATCACTGGTATATGGTAAACTGTTCAAAAGCTGAAAGCCATTACGCTGCTAATTTGCTAATAGGTAATTTTACTGCGAGTTATATGTTAGTTATTATATAATATATTAGTTTTATGATAGGGAACGTTGAATTTAATTAATATTTCCTGTTTGCTATACTTTATATTTTTTAAAAAATTTATATTTAATAAAAAAATTCAGTACTCCTAGAAGTAATGCAATATTAAACTTTACTCGATATTTTTAGGTCAACGTGATAAACCTTTCGTTAACGATGAAGAGAACAATTTACGTACACCACGTCCTGATTTGTTAGATCGTCCTTACGCACCAGATTATTCTGGCGAATCTTTTAGAAATCAATACAAGGTACATCAACACAACACCATTATTTACTCAAAACTTAATCTATTTTTATATTTTAGCAAAAACCAGCAGCGCAAAATCTAATACATGACAATAACGCTCAAAAAAATCGTGATAA